TTTTTTTAATAAACTGGGACGAAGGCAGGAACGAGTATTACACTGTGGACGAGCGCGTTGTGAAACGATCGAAACGATTGCGTGAAAAATTGCGCGGGGAGATAAAGTCTCTTTGGAAATGAAAATGTCCACTCGAAACCAATTGGAAAGAACGTAACGCGCGATCTAAACATTGCACGAGATTGTATTTAAAATTGTAGTAAAAGTCAATGGTGAAAATTCAACAGCTGAAATTTGATCGATCGAGAAACTCTCGATTATGCGGCGTGCAAAAAAATACTCGTGCATTTTATTCGTTTAAGAAGGATTTGGAATTCAATTTGATTGAAACACGTTGTATATTTGAATACGTTTATCCGATCCATCATTATCGATCGATTGCTTGTTTCTGTTCTTCGAGACCTCGTGGCGGGCGCGAAAATTCAAATGAAGAAACGTAGGGAGGCGAAAATATGGGGTATAGAATAAAGGGGTGGGACAAAGACAAATAATTAAGACGTTCCTTTAATATTTGGAATAGAATGGAAGCGTGGATGCATTAATTAAAATTCCGCCCAACCACCCACACGAAGGAAAGAGCGGCCAAGACTTGGAACCCTCCGGGAGATCGAGTCCAATTCACTTAAAAGGGCCACCCGCTGCTTTATGAGCCTTCGTCTCTACCCGCCTCCCTTCCTCCTTTTTTCACGTCGCGTGCGCGTCCACTTGCGTCTTTGTCCAACTTGGAAAGTGTGTGTAGGTGTGCGTATTATTTATCAGAAGTCGAGCGTGTTCGAGTTTTTTCTACGTGTTTTTTTTTCTTTTTTTCTTTCTTTCACGAATTTATAGGATTCTCTCGCCTTTCCCTCGAGCTTTTTCGCGTGAAATCCTTGGTCATTGAGTTGACAGTTTGCGAGAATCTTTTTTTTCTTCCGTTCTTTCTTTCTTTCGCGTTTCTCGTCTTCCTAAGAAAAGAAACGCAATTTGTGTTTTAGTCGTATCGTGTGGGATAAGATATTGCTTCGTATTTCTGAGAATTTCGACTGTCGATTGTCAATACCGGAATTTATGATTAATGAATACTTTTATTTAAGGATTAAAAGAAAAATCAGGGATGGAATGGATGATCGCTTTTGAGATTTACTTTAAAAATAAAAAAAAAAAAAAAGTACGCAGGAAAAATCCACGAGAAAATTGAATGGAATAATAATAGAAATAATTGGAAAGGAATCGTGTTAAAATCAATTGGAGGCACAAAAGGGTTCGAAAATTTTCTAATTCCTCTGTTTCCCCCTCCCCTTTGTACAGCCTGCCTAATTTCCTTTCTCGCCAATTTGCCACTTAATCAAACGGCCGGCTAAAAAGGCCGGCTAATTAGACAAGCAGTCGAAAAGAGCCGCATCTACTTTGACACGTGTATCGAACTAGGCCAGCCAGGGGGGTCGTTGTGTCGTCGGAAACTTTCGAATGTAACTTTCCTCGGCTCCTCTGATAATTAAATTTCGAATGATTTACGTGACTGCGAGCCATGATCAAATTTTCAAGAACCGAACAAAGGACGGACCGATCAGATTTTTCCACCAGTTCTCCAATTATCCCTCCCTCCCCCCCCCTCCCCTTCTTTCTTCCCCTTTTTCAAGGAAACTTTTGTTATCATTTTCTTCATAAACTTTTTCCTTTTCTTTCTCCATCTTTATTTTCCAGGAATAAAATGCAAAATACATCCGGAAATCCAAAGTTCTAGAAGTTCTGTCGTGTCTTGGTTCAAACGTTATATTATTTTATCGTTTTTTTTCTTTTTTCTTTTTTTTTAATGAATGTAAGAGGTTAGATTACGAAACTTGGCATTTTGGAGTATAACTCGTTTTCTTTTTAAATTTTCAAACAGCGAATATTGTTGAATCTCCAGGAAATCGAAAGTTGTAGAACTCGTCGAAAGTTGTCTACCCTCGACATTTATTTACGCGTCTCTTTGACGGACTCGTTGCGACTTTGAGTTGAAGGATTAAATGAAATAAATGTAGAGATGTAAAAATGGTTAATGTAAAAAATACAGGGGAAAAAAGTTTGGAAGAAAGAAAAAGCGATGCCCCGAAAACGAAGACGAAACTCTTCCACGAGTACGTACCTCGAGATATATTAGTTTGGCAAGGATTCTCGAGAAGTTTCTCGGTTTCTTCCAGTGATATCGTGCAATATTTAGCGTATCCACTCTGTCGTCAATTTTCCAGTTTGGAAAGATGGGGTGGTTTTTCAGAGGATCTCGTCACGAATAAAGGCGGACGATGGGAAACCCTGAAGGTGGAGAATTGGAATCGGGATCGATCGTTGTCCAAACATTCCCTTGTAAACTGTCCTCGCCTTTGCACGACACGGCAAACACGTGGCGTCGACGTGACGTAAACACGGGGACGCACCGTGACTATTAAGCTTCATTTTCAGAATTGACAGAATCGTGTCGATCGCGTTACCCGTCCTACTAACTAACTCCATTTCATCGTCGTTCATCCGTCAATTTTAATTTCAAAATTTCGTTACTCGCTAATTCGACCCAACTATCTGATCGAATCTGATGAACCGATATAAATTTATATTATTATTTCGAGAAATTGGAAGGATTTTGCTCGAGAATCGAGCATATTTGTATCTGCCACTTGATGATGATTCGTAGACGCGGAATAAAAAGTTTTTCTCTCGAGAATAAAAATATGTGGGATATAATTGAAAACGAAGGATGTTTGATTTTTTTCGAAAAGAGAGTTTCGAGAAGATCTGTGGAGGAGAAGAAAAATAACGTCGAGCGGGATAAAAATAAATGAGAAAACCCACGCACGAGGTCCATCGATGATCATTCTCGGTGAAATGACCATACGTGCAAAAAATTTCGAAATGTCGTGCGCGTTTGTTAGAAAAGAAGAGGTTTTCCTTGGATGAGCGTTTCGAGATCTTGGACTCGTATCAAGCCATTCTAGCCTCGGTGAATTAAATTATCGTCGTTATTTATCTCTGTCTTTCTTCTTCTTCTTCTTCTTCTTCTTCTTCGAAATTTCTTTCTGAAAAATTCTACACGATAATTTTGCGAAAAAGAATTTACTCTCGTTTAATTTAGACCTTGAAAGAAAGACTCGTTCCAATTGAATCACACTGTGGTTGATAATAATTCGCTCACGATTCAAAATGCCAAGAGCATCTTGCTGCATTCGAGACGAAACGAAGGTGATACGCTGCGATAAGTGAATTTCGTTCGAAATATTTCCCTCTGGCGTTTAAAATTCCCGCCTTTCCCGGTTCATGTTATAAGTTTGTACCACGTTGCTTGTTTCGACTATTTTAAATGGAACTAATTTGATTCTTTTTTTTCCTTTTACGATGAAAAAAGAAAAAAAAAATAAAGCGAAATGGAAAAGCATTCTCAATTTTCTAAATTGGTTATTCCATTCTCATTCTGAATTTTAAGGACGCTCGAAACTGGAGAAATTTGCTTCGATCCAGGTCTAGGTTAATCAAATATGAGTTCGCGCCAATTCTATCTCGATTAAACTTAGAGTGCTAATTTAACTCCCCTTCCCTTAATTTTTATTTTTCCATCGACGCACTATAAATCAATGTCCAACTTAATTATCGCGTACGAATAATAAACGTTCGTTTTCCTTCTATTTTCTTTTTTTCCTTTTTTTCAATCAACTACACTTATTATAATCGAAGCACACCACCGACATTTTCTCCGTAATTTCGACCTTTTTGTCGTATATAAATTTTTATAATTTCCAATTTCCTCGTTAACGTTAATTTAAAACGATACGATTCATTAGCCTTTGTTGCATTCCATATCACAACAATCCGGACGGAAGAGTCTCGACATCGATTTAAAAATTTACCCTCGCCAAATTTGATTCACCCTTATCCATCCTGGTTTTAAGACCAATCTTCTTCCATCTCGTTTCACTCCTCTTATTTTTTTTCTTTTTATTCTCAATTCAAACCAGTTGGTTTAAGTCCAACTTCCAAGATCCCGAAACGCGTTAAATCGCGCGCAACGAAGGCGAAGGTATTCCTTTTCATTACCCGCCTATCTTTTACCATCCTTTCTCTCTCTCTCTCTCTCTCTCTCTGGTCGTAATTCATCGGACGAGGCGCGGCTTTAATGCATTCGAAAGTCTTCCTCGTGGAAAAATATAACCTCGTGGCGAATCCCCGAGGGAGCGGAATTAAGCCGGAGGAAAACACATGATGGGTAGAATATTCCGTATACATATCACGAGTCCATGGAAATTCCGCCGAGTTTTCCAGGTCACTGGAAAATCGAAGATCGGATTATAAATCGATATAATATTAACCGAAACATTGAAAGGAAAGATGATAATTTAGAGTTGACTTGGAGCATGTCTGAGCATGTTCGACTTTGTGCAAATCATTTGAGACGTACGTATTCGGGAAAAATAAAGTTTGGAAATTATTGAAATTATTCGAACGGAATCTGAGAGAAACGTGGATCTCTACATCTTTTTTTTCTTCACATCCGTGCTTTTGAAAGATTTTTAATCGCTTATAAGGATTTCGAGTTTTCATTCCATGAAGGAACGATATATATTCTTCTGTTGCAGAAACAAAACGTGAATATTGCATGTACGAAATACGAGTACGTCCCTCTTTTTTCCTTTCCTTTTATTTTTCCCAGAGCGAGAAGGGAGAAACGAAGGTAATTTTTAAAAAAAAAAAAAAAGACTAACTTTTAATTCGAAAGAAAAATATTTAGATCGGAAATATTATATATTTGTTGTGAATTAAAGGTGACGTTTCCAAGCGGTGCAAATCATTTATGAACTTGCGAGAGTTATCGCTAAATTGTTGATACAAGGATTAAATTAACTCAACGTTATCGTGGGATAAATATTAATTTCCATTCGAGTCGCAGCTCGCCTATTGAAAAACCTTCCATCGATTTTTCATCGTGTCACGCGACCGACAGACGTATCCAATCGAACTGATGAATTAACACGCGCGAAAATCCCTTTCTAAAATAACATATAAGAACAAAAAAGAAGAAAGGAAATAGCAAAAAAAAAAAAATTCGCACGGTTGCGCCTCGACAATGTTTTCGGCCGAGAGACAAAAGAAGTAACACAAATTCTGTAAATTCCAATCCCCTCGATTCGAACGACAAATCCAGAGAAAGAAGCGAGCTAATATAACCGTTTCGAATCGATTTCGAAAATGCGGGCACAAACAAGAAGGCAAACGAAACGAGCAGAAACCGGATGGAAGCAGTTCGATCGACCGTTTAAAAGAAACCCTCGTATCGATGAGGACACGGAACGCCGACCGTTGCGAGCGAAATTGAAATTGTTCCCCGATGAATCCGACCTCTCTATCGGGTCAGGATCGAGCCTAACTAACTTGTGAAACGAAAACGCGGGAGAGGAGGAACGGAATGAAACGGCTGAAGAGGGTGGAGCGCGGTAGAAATTGCTCCCTCTCTCTCTTCCCACCGCCGATCATCATCCCCCGAGGAGGAAAACCTCCTCCCTGTTTCCCAACATTTCCAACGCGTCTCGAGCTGAGAAGCGACGTGATTAATTACGATATCGAAGCTCTTTTTTTCACGAAAGCTCTGGTCCCTGCTTCGATTGCCACTTTCCCTTTTTTTTTTCTCTCTCTGTTTTTCTTTCTGCTAGGCGGTTGAAAATGAAAATCGTGTTCCTCGACGTCTGGTGGATTCTGCCTCGCTCTAAACGGAGCGAGAGGATTAATCGGGTATGGCTGAACCACACGTCGGGATTTTTGATGGAGGATTCGATTCGTGGGTGGTGGATTTTACGTTAAACTTGGGCGTGATTGCGGAGGGTGATATTTGTTTAGAAATTTTTCTCTGGATCAATCAATTATTTGTCTTTTTTCTTCTTTGCAGGACTTCTGTGTGTTTGTTGTGTTTTAACATTTTTGTTTGAACAGAATTGAATTTCGACTCTGGTAAGAAAAAGTGAGGAAACGTAAAAACGTTAAAACGTTGAACAGGCGATTATATGAATTGAGGAGTTTGATGCTTTTGTAAATCGAGTAATTGAAGCTACTTGATACACGTTCGAATTTAATATAATTTCGAATAATTTTGATAACTTTTGCTTGGATCATTAATCTCGAATTTTAATTTTTAACGTTTGGGGGGTTTGATATAACGAAGGATAAGTTTAAAGTGATCGAAGCTGGAATCTAAACTCCTATATTTCCTATGGGCTTGATAAAGAATTTAGAATTTTGCATATCTGATCGAGTGATAAATTACATCGCAAATTCGATAAACCAACCATCTTATAATTTAACTTCCTTCATTCCTTCCTTTTCTTCCGCGAAGAATTTTCACTCCAATTTAATCGCTCCTCTCAATTTCGAATTTCTTCGTCGAATACCACTCTCTGATCGATCATATCCACAAGATACGGGGGGGGGGGGGAAACGTATTAAAAGAACTCCGACCCCAAGAAATTCTCAAAACTTAATCTTTCAGATGATCCCCAACTTCCCCTTTCGAAAGTTACATCGATACATCGATATTATTCGCGAATTCTTCGCGACCCACTTTCCAATTCGCGAGAAACCAATTAATTAAACGATGCGGAATATAAAACGGGATTCGAAAGTATTTGGAAACGTTTTCAATTATGATTTTCATCGGAAGAATGGCTGGTTGCAAAGAAAGTCGCGGTTCGATAAACGAGGGAAGGAAGGAAGTTGAAAGTTCTCTTCGTACCAAATCGCGCGATATTAATTCAAGTTTCGCGTATCCTCACAAGAATTAATTAGAATCGTACAAAATGGCGCGGGAATGGTGGCAACACACGTTCATTACTCTCTAGCATTCCGGTAGAAACGAGGCCAAGAGGAGATTCTACATCCTAAATTGTGAATATTTAAATCCATTTCCGGCGCAGCTCGCGTGACAAAAAAAAAACAAAGGAACACTTTAATTTATCCCGAGAAAAAGGTAATGCATCAAAAACGCGTGGAGAGTTTGCTCGAGAAAAATAAGAAAGAATTGTCGAAAGTCGATATCCGTTCCCAAATAAGAAGTGTCGCGAACGAAGTGTTTCTGGTTGTGAAAAAATTTTTGCACGACGGATTTTGAGTCACTAGTTTTTTTCTTTTCGTTCCAAAAAAAAAAAGAAAAATCTATCGTCGGATCAAATTCTCGCGCCACCGGATATCGATGCGTATCGTTGCTCGGTTTGAAACGTGAAACGCAAAAGACCGTTTCGATAGATATTGCGAATCGGCGATTTCCTTATCTGTCATCAGATCCCTTCGAATACTCGTTTTGTCGAAACAAACGATATTGCCCCGTTTTATCGTCACGTTTATTGACCCATAAACCTGGCAAAACTGTCTACGAATATTTCTGCAGCACGAATATTTCTTTTCTTTCCCCCCCCCCCTCTCCAAGTAATTGAAATTCGAATCGAATCCCGTTCGATTATTTATTCACAAATCATCGGCATACGGAGTGTGTATCGAAAAATGAGAAATGGAACGATAGATAATCGATGGAAAAATTAAACTTGTTAAAAACATAATAAGCATAATTACGAGCCTCGTTCGGCGGGGCTTAATTTCGAGCTTAATTAAAAAAGGTACGGCGCACAAAAGTGTACATCAACTCGATTTCAACCGGGTATTTAAACAAACAGATTAAACGTTTCTTCTGAAAAAAATTCTGAAGTTTAATTAAATATTGAACGCGCCTCGAGTCGATTTCGCTTTGTTATTAAAATTCAAATCAACATCGATCGTGGCCGACGGTCGATCGCACGAGCGAACAAAATACACTCAAGACACTCCACAGGAGAGGGCCAAATTCAAATTCACGTGGCCACCAATTATCAAGCCACCCGATAAATGATTTTTAATCGATCCCTCCGCGAGGCGGAGGGATCAAATTTTCCCTCCAAAAAACTACTTTCATCGACTCCCCCCCCCCTCCCCCTCCCCCTATGAATCTAATTAAATCGGCAAAATCCCTCGGCAAAAGATTCCACGAGCTCGAGTAACCGGCAAGATTAAAAAGAGGGGAGGGGGGGGGGGGGAACGGTCTTAATTATTCCGGAGTCTTAATTATGGATCCTTAAACGATCTTTTGAGTTACTAGGCCAAAGATTTAAAAAAAAAAATCTTATACCAATACACGCACACACACACACACACATATATATATACGAAACATGGCTCGTCGATAATCAAACATTGGAATGAAAAAGGGATGACGAGTAGACAATTTCGGCTTCTGGAGATTTTCAATCTCCAGAAGAAAAAAAAAAAGAAAGAAAGGACATTTTCAACGGGAGGAAAGACGCGTGCTGGACGAGCGCACGTTGCACGCGGTCCGTCAAAACAAATCGATGGAACCCGGGCCGATCTCTCTTAGAAGATCTAGTCTGATCTGTCTCTATCTATCTACCTTGCGTCGATCGTGGCGGGCCTCTCCGATCGGGACCATCGAGCGAATCCGCTTCCTCTCCCCCCTCTCTCTCTCTCTCCCTTCCTCTCTCCTCCCCTTTCTTTTCTCTCCCCTTGAGAAATACACGGGACACGAGGGAAATGCACGACACGGGGCCGACACGTGAACAAGCACGGCCGAATGGCGCGACTGAACTCGGCTGAACCGTGTCGGAGCTTGACTCGCCACCGAAGTAGTTTCGGGCCGGCGCTCTCGTTCGTTGAAAGGGGGTGGCGGCGCAAGGGTTGGTGGGGGGTGGGAGGGCGAGAATGAAACCGCGAGAAGAGGAGGAAATGGCGCGATAAGAAGTTGAAAGGGGGGGGGAGGGGGATGCGACAAGAGGATTTGGACGATGCGCGCCGCGCAAGGATGTTGCGTGGGCGAGTGGAATGAATGAAATGGGGGAAAAGGAGGGAGGGAGAAAGTGAAAGGATGGATGAGATATCGTTGTTGTTGGCGATGGATGGAGGAGGAAGAATGGAAAGGATAAAAAGTGATGAAAAGGAGATGTAATTCGATCGAAGTGGGGGAGGCGAATCTAGGGGGAGTGTTGCGGTTGGAGAAAGAGAGTGGAACGAATCAGGAGAGCGAAACGAGGGAATATTGTGTGATCGATGCGGCGTTAATTGCGAGAGGTGGATATATATAAAGGTAATGAACGGGAAAATAAAAAGCGAGGAATTGAAATGGAATGGAAATATATATATATATACTTAAAAGTAGAATACGAAAAGAGACGAAAGGAAATATTGTTGTCAATGCACTTGGGTAGAGGCAGAGACGAGTGGATGGAAGAGCGGGAGATGTGAAGTGCGATGTACGTGGGAAGGAAATAATATGGAGGAGGAGGGCGATATTTTCCAAGCAGCTCGAAGGGATGGAAAACAACGTAGGGGCGCGGATAACGAAGTGCAAGGGAAACAAAGGCTGGCTGGTCGAAGGAACAACGTGATCGGCGTTGCCGCGCATCTCGACGACGAACCTCGTGCGACCTCGTGGTTTTCGATCAAGTTCGCCGACACGATGATCGCAATAATGTAAACGCTCCTTTTTTAACCTTCTCAACGATATTATCGTATTTTTACACGGTGACGCGTTCTCTCAGTAACATTTGCACATAGCTTTCAACGGCGGGGGAAGAGGAATTATCAGCCGTGGAGACGACATTTGTATTCGGCTTGAGCGATGATCCCTTCGTAAGCTATATCGTATGCGCGTCATTTTCAGCGTGGAAATTGCATAGGAAGAAGAAAAGAGTGTGGCCCGTCGTGTGAAAAATCGTGATGCAGAAATTTTGTAATTTTTTTTTCAACCGATTCAGATTTTTAATTTTGAATAATTAATTTATGGAACGTGTCTATATATATATATATATACATACAATAATCTATTTCGAATTTAATAACAGATCAGAGCCAATATTTCGTTACTACGGTGGATGTATGCATGGAAACGTGAACTTTGTCGTTTCGCTGACGTCAAATGAAATTTTCGTAGACACAACGAGAACTTTACGAAGTAAAATTCTGTACACTTTGTGGAACAAACGATGCGACGTTTACGAAAAAATTTTTCAACTTCATTAAAGAGAAGTGTATCTTAACCGCTAGAAAAACCAGATGCGAAAATCATCAAAATCTTGAATCTTCAAAGAGAAGATGTTCTTAATCCAATCAAAAAAAAAAAGAAATAATATGCTGCTTTAATTCCTTCGATATCAATCTTCCTTCCCTCCCAAAGATGCTCGTCGCCGTTAATCTTTTAATCTCCTGGTATCTTTGACGTCGAGAAGAGAAATTTTTAATTAAATTCGTCGAAACGATCGCACAAAGAAATTCCACTCGACCTCGGATTAAAACGTTCGATTTCTGCGCAGGCAGGTGTACGAGACGAGAAAGCGAGACATGCTAAGATTTAACCCGAATAAAGTGACGACACGATCCGATTCGAGGACGAACGATCACACACGAAAGACACCACACATCTAAGAACGGAACACTCCTTGTCTCACGGCTTGCAAGAGAGATGATTCCGGACTCGGCTCGAGTGGCCGATTGATTAAAATTCCCACTTAGTCCGTGTGAATTTTTAATGAGAGAAGCGAAGAGGAGGGGAAGGGATAGGGGTCCTCTGGTCGCTACGAGTAGTAGCGCTATCGGTTTTCAAGATGATGCTTGAGAAAGGGTTGGAGGAAGGGCGAGAAGAAGGGTGCTCGAGTTCTTTTTTTTTTTTTTTGTTCTCGATGAATGCGAGAACCGGGCAAGCTCGCGACCCCGTGAATCATCCTTCTTTCGCGTATCAGAATCCTGTCGAGGAGGATTGATAAATGGGGGTCGATCGATACGAATTGATAAAGGAATTGTAGGAAGGGCGATCGATAATTTGCGCATTTGACAGTTGTAATCGATCGTGAGAACAAGGGGAGGATCGATATCGAGGGGTCTGAACGGAAGAGATGTAAATCAGGTTTTGAAAAAAATTTTTTTTTTATGGCAATAATGAAACGGACAATATTCGTGACACGCGGATTTTAAATATGAACGTAAGCTTGGAAATGGGGGAACCGATCGAATCGATAATTTATAACGAAGTTTTCGTGATACAAATCGGCGAAATGCAATTCTCATTTGGCCCGATCGATCGCCTCTCGTCGCGTTATAAATTTCCGTTTCCCGCCAATGCTGGTCCAATGTTAAAAATCCGCTGTTAATATACAACGCGCTGTCAAAAGTTCCATCATATCCAAACTTTTTCCCCGATAAATCCTGGGAAATTCAACAACCTGTCGAAAACAAGCTATCGTCAATCACGGAACAGAGTCGCGAAATTTCTCGAAATTTGACCTCCTTCTCAGTCGCTATTTCGTTCGTTGTCAGACGAATTAGACCCTTTTCGATTCTTTTGCCTTTGTAACTAAGAGAAGGCTTGCTTTGGGTGAATTGATATCCTAAAAGATTAAGATCTCTGTCTTTTAGATTTCAAGCTGCTAGATAGAAAGAAACATGAAAAAAAAGTATAAGATAAAGCTCTGGAGATTTTTCTACGATTCAAATAACATGGACAAAAAGACAATTCTAGTTCAATTTTCTATTCCTTCTTAATGCATTCTGTAACCTTTATTATTCCAATATATAAGATAAGGGACTAGGTGGCGTTAACTCCATTATTATTCAAAACGAAGAATGAAATTTTCAACCACCTTAAATTTTTTTGAGGATTTTAAAAAAATGAACTTATTGCCATATCATTCAAAAGAACAAATTCCTTTCTTACAAATATTACAATTTCTTTATTCCAGCGTTCAAGATACGGACGCCACCAGATGGCGTTCCTGTCGACTTCTTGTCCACTATCACGTCCAAAACGAAATCTCCTTTCACTGGAACACCGTTCGAAGCTCCATATACTTTTTCCACGATTCAAATATTATCTAAATTTTGCTCAGGATCCTAGAAAAATTACCTCACTATCCTTTTTCATATCGTTCAGAAGAACAATCTCTTTCCTACAACTTCTAACCTAATCTTCATTCCAGCGTTCAAGACACGGACCCACCAGATGGCGTTCCTGCCGACTTCCTGTCACGTTACAAAACGACATCTCCTTTCACTTACTTTCCAACTTCAAATGTACCGTTCAAAACTCAAAGCGGGAAGAAATGGAAAATAAAAAAAAATAGGAGAGGAGAGTAGGAAGGAACATCGCTCTCGAGCCACCTGCTCGATTACCCTCGGAATTAACGTATGAATTGAGTACACACGGTTGATCCGCGGGGTGTCCGCGCCCCACCCGCACTGCCCTATATTCCCCAGCCTCGTTCGAACATCGGCCCATTGACCTTTCCACGGCTCCATGGATGAGAAGGGGCTGGAAATTCGAGGGAAATTCGCGGATCTCGCGAAACGACGACGAGGGAAGAAGGTGGGATCTCTCGCGATAAAGGATCGATCGTATTAATTACGGCCAAGCCGGAAGAGCACTCTGGGCCAAGCAAGCTTCTTCCTGTCACTCGATCATTCTTCTTTCCATCCTCTCTACGTGTATACGTACGCATATGTGTATGTGCACGAAACGAAATTCGCCACGATGGCAGAATTCGATGGCAGGGCAGTTGCTCGTTCAAGTAAATCTTTTTTTCAAGTAAAGAGGTATTTTGCTCGAGATTAAATTATTCACGAATAGGAGACGAACGGTTTTTCCATGGATGAGAGAAAGAAGAATCGGCTGAAATGAAAATATTTAAAATACTTTATTTGTATTGTAACGAAAGAGTTGATCGATGGTTCCATGTTACGCGTTCGATCAAATTTTCCCTTCTGAAAATCAACGAAGATAGTCATCAAACCGAGTTTCGTTCGAAAGCGGATGGAAATGAACTCGGTGCAAATATATGCAAACTTCCGATTCTCTTGGTTTCGAAAAATTTTGTCCAATCGAAGCAACGTAAATATATGAAAAAAAAAAAAGCCACTGTCACAAATTCCTTTAATCTACATCGAAGAATCAGAGTATTTCGACTCGCTTCGTGAGAGAGGAGGAGGGGGGGGGGAGAGAAAGAAGAATAGGATGATTTTTTTAAAGGACACGTGGATAAGGAATCTCTAGGATTGCATTTCCTTAGAAATTTCCAAGTCTGTTTATTCTCCATCGCGTTCGCTGTTGTGTCGTGGAGAAAAATTTCGAATCCACGTTTTATAAAAATATGCAACGAAAAGGGCTTAAAGGAAAGGAAAGGAGGAAAAATTCAAATGTTTGCAAGATCGCATCGCGTAACTTTTTGCTTTTCGAAAGATATCGAGATTTCCCTACAAAGTTACGCTCGATCGAATTGAAAATTTCTCCCGTGAGGTGATCTCTCTCGCGAAACTTACTCGAGGTCATTTATGAATTCTGAAAGGCGCTGAACAGGCTCGTGCCCTGCTATTAATTCTCTCTCTCTCTCTCTCTCT